TGGGGGCTGCTGCCATACTGCGAGGCCCATCCCGTCTCCCCAGCTGGCTTTGATGGGTCTCCCTCCTGTCCCCACAACATGCTGCCATTTCTTTTCCCAGAGCACACTGCACTGTGGCAGATCAGATATCAGGGCCCATATGTTCTACAAATTGATGATTGATTCTTTCTCTCACAAACTCAAAGGCTCCTTGAACCTGAGAAGAGGGTCTTATGTGTCTGCATGCTGAGCATATCAACAGTGACGTGGCAATGGCTCCAACTGAGAATCTTTGTCATGACTTATGCCCCCACCCAAGCCCACCCAAGGCAAACCAAGGTACACACACACACATATAAATGGTTGGAGGAGCAAGATGAGAGACAGTCTGGTGACAAAAGTCCCCGACTTTGGGTCTTAAGGTCATCTGAAAAGTTTAGATGGACTAGTTTGCATCACCAAATAAAAGGCATCCCACCTCCAGCAGTTCTCCTGAAACACCACAGGGATGGGCACCAGGGCCAGTGGTGCCACCTGCAGACACTGCCTTGGTGAGAAGGACATGGTGACATTTATTTTGAGGATGTTGAGGACCTGCCACTCTGTGCCCAGGCCTTCCCTCTACCCACTTGCCTCATAGATCCATTGTCATTGCTGCTTGGATGGTCTCCATTGGTCACTTTGGCAGCATCTTGCTCACTCCTATGCACCATTTGAAAGAAGGCCACCTAGGCTTGTGAGTCCTCTGGCACACGGCTTAGCTGACAGAACACTTTGTGCAGGGCTGAGCCATGTTAGAAACCGGCCTTAGAATAGGAGCTGACCAATGCAAGTCTCTGACCTTCCAAAGCAGCTCTGTTTTCCTACATGATTCCTGTATATCCTTTTCTCTAGGAGTGCCTTAGCCACTTACTTTGCCTTTGGATCTTCTCCATTGCTCCTGGATGAATCTTCCAAGAGATTGGGACTGCTTCTCTGAACTTCTAGCTACAATTAAGACTATTGGCCTCTGGCAAGTGCCCTTGGCTCCTCCCCTGTCTCCTCTTCCTCTGACCAGTCTTTTTCCTTCCCTTCCTCACTATGGTGTTTCTTCTAGCTAAGGCTTCTTTCCTCACTCTGTAACATCGACATAGGCTGTAACACACCTTTCTGGCAGGGATGAATATGTTCTAAAGAGATACATGCTTCCCTCTTTGGCTATCAGACTATTGAAAGAATGGACCCCAAGTTTGTCCAGGAGTCTCTTGGAGGAAGAGGAAATGGCTGAAAGCCTGGGG